AAAATATAAATAGAGAGTGATTTGAGTGAAGCACATAATTATCGTAGAAATGAGTTGCAAACTGAAGACCGTTTTCATCATCCGTACTGTGTCGCTAAGTCCCAAATGCTGCTGTTTTAAAGCCTTAAGTTCCGTCAGTAGGAACGGATTTTTCAGTTTATGATACGGTCGTCTCAAGAAATATAGCTCACCGTTTGTCATGAATTCTCGAAAATTCATCAGACTATCATTGATTTGTTTAAAACAAGCTTTTAATACGGAAACACAATTCATGTATAGCATATCTATTTGAAACTCCAACAAATAGATGTATAGTGTGAGAATCTTATTTATGACATCAAACCGGATCCAAATAAAATACACCAAGATTTGAATGAGTATTAAAAAGAATCCAAAAATGTCCTTAGCATGAATCATTCTAGATAGATTTTGATATGATTTTTGTGACAATCGCAAAGAAAGCTTCAGTATAGTTTGAAGTAAACGCATTCGTAGTCCATTTAAAATGAACGTGATAACTGCCGTAGAACCACCACAAATATAGAAGCAGTTAAGTGCAAGTGTCCAGGTTACTTTGTTTTTGAATTTACGAATAATACTTTTGGAAAAATTGAGATTATATATAACTATTAGTTCGCCAATGCAAAAAATGGTAATAATTATAGTCGATAGAATATAGCCTAGTTTGCAAATCTTGATAGTTGATCCATTGATCTTGTATGGAAATATTCCCAGAATGCGACAAAAAGTGAAGCAAGGGTACATCAATGATTCAAAGTCCGTGGCGCGAAATATCTGCCATATTTTTGCTTTTCTTTTAATTTGGAATCTTTGGAATTTCGATGAATTAAACATGTTTGTCGAAGTATTATAAGACATCACCAGTTTAAATTATGAAGATCATTAATTAATCGTATTATTGTAATGATGTTATTAATGCACTTTAGTAATAATGTATTTTTCAAAAATGTCTCTCCCAAGTGTAATTTTTTAATATCTCCACGACGATGCAGTAACCGACATAAACTTATTGCAGTCTACCTATACTTTGAGTGTTTAATTTTGAAACTACTAACAATTTTTCTTTGTATAGAAAAACAGGTCTCAAGAATTTGTTATTCATGAAATAACCATGGGTTTTCGCTTATTATGTTCAGAACACGAAACAAAGTCGTGATGTATAATTATTTATGTCATGCAATACACAATCTTCAGCATCTAGATCATGTACCAAGCGAACGAATATTATTATATTTCTTGGTCTTCCATTAGCTGTATAGGTAAAATTACAAAATAATAGTAAATTTATATCGTGCTGATATTATGTTAGAAAAAAAATAGAAAATTTTTATTTTAAATGAAACAAACGGTTTACTTAATCAATATAATGTATTTTAAGAGTTTGTGTGTAGTGCAAATGAAATAAAAAAATAATACGAATTAATAAGGCAATTAAGAAATTATATCTGCGTAATCATTGTTATTGTTTTGGCTCATTCTAAAATCTTTTCAATTTTCTATATTTGTTAAAAATGGATCTGCTTCCTGCTATTTCGTGAAATACTGTTAATATATCTATTATAAATATTCCTCATTATTAAATTAATTTGAATTTATTAATCGATATTATATATAATACAAGAATTATTAAAAAATTTAAGTTGTGTAACGTATTTAATTTAAATATTTTAGTATAAAGTACTATTTTTCAGAAATATTTTCATTATACAAGAGATATATTTTATACATAGATACATTGTACACAGATTGTTTAACTGTACACTCATTCCTCAGAAATATCTACATTACTGTATAACTATTTAGTAATATAATATAAATAAAACCTATATGTGACTGATTATTAACATGCATGTGATATGAGATTTTCAAAAGTTTAATTATGCATTATACTGTAAGTTCTATACATATAAGTATATCTAAAAGCATAAAATATCTCAAAAAGTTCTACTCACAATAATCAAAATTAAAAAATAATTAATGTTAACAATATTTTTTTATATTTAATCTAAGAATTTTTTGTTATTTATATTATATTGCTGTCATATTACTTGAAGCTTCTCCATCACAAGAATTCGACATAAATACGAATTGTATCAAAATTAATAGGTACGTGACAATGATATCTATCATCTAAAAAAGAATAAAATGGTTAATACATCTAATATACGCCTATACTTATTTTACGAATTGAAATAATTAATTACTCACCGTAACGAGAAGTGTAGCATCCACACTAAATCCCGTTGCGGAGAACATAATTTTATGATGCATTAATTGCAATGAAAATAGCCGCAACTGCAATGTCAAATCAAATAATTATTAAAAACAGGATTCAAAGACGTAATTAAATATATATATCCGATAAACTAATAATTTTTTTAAATTTACCTCGTATTTTATTTCCTTATCATTGATGCTGTTAAATACGTGAAGAACGGTGGTGTTGATTTCAACAGCTTGACTTTTGGCGGATTGACAAGCCCATATTATCAACAATAGTTTTATACTGTAATATGTTACAACTGGTATTGAGCTTGTATAACTCTCAGAATAGTACTGTTTTTCGTGATTGTTCAGATTCACTCCTTGTACTACTTGCACTAACGAATAGTATAAATGGACAGTGATTTGAATGAAGGTCATAATTATCGTAGAAATGAGTTGCCAACTGAAGACCGTTTTCATCATCCCTACTGTGTCGCTAAGTCCCAAATGCTGCTGTTTTAAAGCCTTGAGTTCCGTCAGTAGGAACGGATTTTGCAGTTCATGATAAGCTTCCCTCAAGAGATATAGCTCATCATTTATCATGAGTTCTCGAAGATTTATCAGACTGTCATTGAGTTGTTTAAAACAAGCTTTTAATACGCAAACACAATTCACGTATAG